AAGCCTTTTCGGGCAGGCCCTTGCTCGTTTCACTCTCCTGGCCCATTAGAACCATCCATAACTCGTCTTCCAGCTCATCACGTCTCAAAGATGAACAAATTCTGCTACTTGAACAAGCACCAAAGTTTATTCCCGGATTGAAAATGCTAACGAGTCCTGAGTTCATACGGTCAAACAGAAGTTGTCTTTCAGACTTTACCCAGGCTGTCTGTTTGCCGTATTTTTTCTCTACAGCCTCGAACACAGAAGGGCTTATCGGGCACTCCAGCGAATGCCATGTCCTGAAGTCAGTAAATGATTTCGCACCACAAAAACCGGATTTGTCTAAAACATCGACCATGTAAGAGTAGATTTTGCTTCTGCTGTCCCCAACCCACGTTTTTACGAGTTCGGGATCACAAACGACATCATTCAACCGTTCATCCAAATCTTCGTCTCCCGATACAAGCATCACTGATCCTTCAGAGTAAGTTTCTTCTAAATCGAAGTCTAAAGCTTCAAGTTGCAGCAGTAGGCCTATGAAGTTATCAAAAAGCAGGTCAGACGACAAGAACACAAAATGTTGATAAAGTACGAAAAATAAGTTATACTAGTGATCATTAGTTCATTACCACCAATGCCGTCAAAATTTTCGAAAGAAGAAAAATTTTGAATATCAAATTGTTCGAGAACCGAGTCCGGGCTCTGCTGGTAGGTTCTCTTCAGGTTGTCCTGGAACTCTGGAGGGCTTATTCTGGATAAGTTTGAATAAGATGATTCTTCCTTGGAATATTCATTTAAGAGTCTCTGCATGGAAGAAAAGTACATGCTTTATAATGTGAAAAAGAATCTGAATGATGCAGATTTTTGGTTGTCACAGTTCCACCATAGTGCTGGAAAAATCATTAGCTGAATGATGCACATTTTGATTTTGGTGACATTGAACAAGAGCTTACAAAGCATTACAAGTTTTCACCAGAGACACAATCACCAAGGGATTAGTGACAAAATCATTCGTTGAAATTCAAATAGTAGACAATGATTGTTGAAGAAATATGTTTACAAAGAAACATTTCATACAGATGCACAAGAAATGTGGGGAACCCAACTTCAAGGAAAACAGAATGCAGGTAAGTAAAGCAAGAAGAATCAATACAAACCTCGTCACCAGAAGCTTCCGGAGCATAAGAAGTATGCTCCCTTTCTGCCGATGAGATAATAGGAACCGTTTCCAACTCGCTATCACAACTGGTCGCAGCACAAACCGCAACACCATCTGTACATTCTAAAACGTCATTTCTTGAAATCATTTTCTCGTTCAGGTAGTTATTCCTCTCAGTATTTTCATCTTGCTTTGCACATGAGAGGGCCTCTTTTATTGTTTCAAATTTAAAGATCGGTAAGCTCTTCCGAGAGCCATCCTCCCAAAAGTCTATGAAGCTATAAGCTGAAAGACTGCAAGCCCCTGAGTTTCTGGACTGTAAAATTAATGGATTTGATTTTTTATCTGCCAAAGGAAGCATTTCATCAAGATTTGGGCCCCTGACATGCACACCAACTTCTCGAGCCTCTTTTGCTACCTCACATCTTCCAACATTTTTCTTCCTGGATGCGCTGCCTAAGGATGATTTATCAACTGAACGATGTCGACCAAGGCTGTAACCCTTAAAATCATTCTCATCAGGAGTAGAAAGTACCAGCCCCTCAACTTCATCCATTAAGCTTTTGTCACACAAATGCCCGGTCCTTGATAACTGCGCGAATTTGCTTCTGGGCCTTCCTTGCTGAGGGATTCTTCTCATAGATTTAGTGCATGCACTACAGCTATATCCACGAGACACGATGTCATTAGCCACCAGCTCTTTACTCGTTGCTATGTGATGGTGGTCTTTTCCACTTCCACTTTTCAAGGAATCCCTGTGTTCTATGTATCGTTGTTTGGAATGTGGCTTCAACTTTATTGCAGTACTTGTATTTGGCAGGGTTTCTGATGATTTTCTCACGTAATCAACACCAAGCTCAACAAGGTGACCTGAAAGTGAGTTCTGCTCATATTTCTGCATGTATCTAAGGGCATGACTTGAAGCACTTGGACGTTTTTGGCTTCGTACATCCTTTTCAACACATTTGTCTAAAAAGTCATCATTATTGCTCTTGGAAATGTGTAGTCCAGATTCGCCCTTCATTTGATGCCCAGTAGCAATGAAACTGCCCCATCGAAGGCCCACAGAAGCAGAATTCCGGACATAGCTTTCAGATAGTGCTCTGTATTTTCCATTGGAGGGCTTCTGTGGGGCCTGCACTTCATCAAAACACATTAACTTCCCGATAATACTGTCTGTGTTGCTTGGTTGACATGTCTGCTGCCAATCCTTCATCTGCACCGATAGATTCTACTAACGTTAATAAGACAAGAACCAAAATTCACACAAAACAAACATTAGGCACCTGTTATCACATTTCCGAAGCAGAAGATATTATCCTTCAGTTCACAAAAATCATAAATATATTATCCAACATTTTTCATAGTAACAAAATAAGCAACAATCGAACCACCGCCTTTCATTTGCAAACTGACCATAACGACACAACATGCCCCCACGAATCAAACGACCGCTCGATAACAGCATACCTATATTCATTTTAGGCTAAATTTCACAATCAAACAATGCAAATCCCCCTAAAAACCATTCATAACAAACGAAATAAATCACAGAGATCAAACGCAATAGAGAAATCGGCAACAATTCAACCACCAACTTCCATTTTCACAAACTCCGTATCAATATCCATTTCTAATTCGAGTTCGTAATCGAACATTCCAAGCCCGCGAAAAACCATTTCATCTACAATTTACATCACAGAACTAAGAGATTTAAACAGCTTCATATCAAAATTTTACCAGTATTCACAGAAACACACATACCTACACTTGCGAAGTCCACCGAAGAAGAAAATAAACCGCCGAGAAAGCCACTCCGACCAGCTGTCCCGCCAAAAACAATCCCGCTATTCTCACTCAAAATCGATCATACGTTCGGTTCGGATTTGCAGTCGGATGAATTGAAGGGATCAAACCAAGGAGTACTCGCAGAACGTCGTCCGAGCTCCGCCGCCACTCCACCGGGGGTGCTGCAAACCGCCGGTGTAAATGTGGTCAACGCAATCTTTGATGGAGATTGTGCTGCAAATTTGGAAATGTTGACACAAACTTACATATATATATATATGAGCCATTTTAGGGCACGAGTGACGTGGTTTTAATTTCGTTTAGGAAATATTTGAAAAATGTAAATAAAACTGAAAAATAAATAAATTTAATAATAGTATTTAGTGTATAGATGGATTTGAAATTTCAAAAGAGAATAATAATTAGGGCAAATTCTATAAAAGTACCTAGACCCCTTTTCAACTTCCAGTTCAGTCCCTTCCTCTAATTTTCTTCCACTTTACTCCCTCCCACTTGCAATAAAATAATAACCCTCTTAGTATTCCCACAATACCCTTATCTTTATTCAAGTCCAGAAAATTAGTACCAGTTTATTTTGGAATCGTACCACTTTAATAAGAGGAT